TCATTTAAAAATCTTTACTATGTGTAACACTCTCAATTTGTAACATGCTTATAAAACATCTGTGCTCATTCCCAACTGCCCCATCCCCCTTTCCAATTACTTTTTTAGGAAGTATTTTTAGGAGTGCAATTACTGGGTCAAAGAACATGTACATGGTTTTTCTATTAAAAAAATAACTTGGGGATCCCTGGGTGGCTCAGTGGTTTGGCACCTGCCTTCAGCCCAGGGCGTGATCCTGGAGTCCCGGGATTGAATCCCACGTCAGGCTCCCTGCATGGAGCCTGCTTCTCCCTCCGCCTTTATCTCTGCCTCTCTCTTGCTCTGTGTCTCATGAATAAATAAATAAAATATTAAAAAATAAATGAATAAAAATTAAAAAAAATAACTGCAAGGTACAGAAAAGTTTGAAGGACAGTACAAAGAAGTTTTTTTTTTTCCTCTCTAAACTGTTTGAATAAGTTGCTGACATCAGGCTCCATTACTACCAAGTACTCTAGTACATTTCCTACAAAGATATTCACTTGGGTTATAGGTCTTAACCAAATGGAATTTATCATAGGATTGCAAGGTTGGTTCAACATGAGAATCAATGTACTAGACCATACTAATAATAATAAAGGAAAAAACCAATGATGATCTCAAGAAATTCAGGAAAAAGAATCTGAAAACTCCAACATCTTTTCATGATAAAAACTCTCAGCAAACTAGGAATAGAAGGGAGTTTCCTCAGTCTAATAAAGGACATGCACACAAAACTCCAGCCAATACTATAATTAATGATGAGAAACTAAAAACTTTTTTCCTTAGACTAGGAACAAAACAAGAACATCTGCTCTCTCCACTTCTATTCAACAGTGTACTGGAAGTTCTGTTCAGGGCGACAAGGCAAGAAAAATAAGTAAAAGGTATCCAATTGATAAGAAAGACAGAAAACTATCCCTATTTCCACGTCATGATCTTATACACAGAAAGTTCTAACAAATCCACATATGCACACACACAATACTACTAGAGGTAAAAAATAAGTTCAGCAATGTTGTAGGATACAATAACAATATACAAAAATTATTGTTATTTCCACAAATTAGGCATAAGTAAAAAAATGAAATTAAGAAAACTCCATTTACAATAGCATCAAAAACTACAATACTTATGAATACACTTAACAAAAGAAGTCAAGATTTGCACACAAACTATAAAACATCACTGAAAGAAATAAAAGACTTAAATGGGAAGACATCCTATGTTCATGGATTGGAAAACAATATTAAAAATAGCAATACTCTCCAAGTAATCTGTGGATTCAATGGAATCGCTTTCAAAATCCCAGCTAATTTTTGCAGAAATTGATAAGCTGATCCTAAAATTCACATGGAAATGCAAGAGATCCAGAATAGCTTAAGCAATTTTTAAAAAGAGGAACAAATTTGGAGGACTCACAACTCCCAATTTCAAAACTTACTACAAGTCTACAGTAATCAAGGCTGTATGGTACTGGTACTGGAGTAAGTATAGACATATAAGTCAATGGAACAGAATTGAGAGTTGGAAAAAAAAAAGTGTTGAGAGTCAAGAAATAAATTCATACATTTATGATTGCCTGAATTTAGACAGTGGTGTCAAGACAATTCAATGAGGAAAGAACAGTCTTTTTAACAAATGATTCTGGGGTAACTGGATATCCATCCACATGCAAAAGAATGAAGCTAGACTGACTTCATATCACATAAAAATTTTTATTTAAAATGGATTAAAGAAAAAAAATAAAATAAAATGGATTAAAGAATCAGGAGAACAATATTGTTAAAATGTCCATACTACCCAAAGCAGCCTATAGATTTAATGCAATCCCTATCAAAATAGCAACAGCATTTTTCACAGAACTAGAACAAATAGGGCAGCCCCGGTGGCGCAGCGGTTTAGCGCTGCCTGAAGCCTGCGGTGTGATCCTGGAGACCCAGGATCAAGTCCCACGTCAGGCTTCCTGCATGGAGCCTGCTTCTCCCTCTGCCTGTGTCTCTGCCTCTCTCTCTCTCTCTCTCTGTGTGTGTCTCTATGAATAAATAAACAAAATATTAAAAAAAAAGAACTAGAACAAAAAATCCTTACATTTGTATGACACCAGAAAAGATTCTGAGAAGCCAAAGCAATCTTAAAAAAAAAAAAAAAAGAACAAAACTAGAGGTATCACAATCCCAGATTTCAAGATACACTACAAAGCAGTAGAAATCAAAACAGTACAGTACAAGAAAAAAAAAAAGATACATACAAACTCATACAACTGAACAAAAAAACATTCCAATTAAAAAATGGGCAGAGGGACGGACACCTGAGTGGCTCAGCGGTTGAGCATCTGCCTTCGGCTCAGGGTGAGATCTCAGGATCGAGGATCGAGGGGATCCCTGGGTGGCACAGCGGTTTGGCACCTGCCTTTGGCCCAGGGCACGATCCTGGAGACCCGGGATCGAATCCCACCGTCGGGCTCCCGATGCATGGAGCCTGCTTCTCCCTCTGCCTGTGTCTCTGCCTCTCTGTCTCTGTGACTATCATAAATTAAAATAAAAATAGGGATCCCTGAGTGGCGCAGCGGTTTGGCACCTGCCTTTGGCCCACGGCGCGATCCTGGAGACCCGGGATCGAATCCCATATCGGGCTCCTGGTGCATGGAGCCTGCTTCTCCCTCTGCCTGTGTCTCTGCCTCTCTCTCTCTCTCTGTGACTATCATAAATAAATAAATTGAAAAAAAATTAAAAAAAAAAAAGGATCCAGGATCGAGTCCCACATTGGGCTCCTTGCAGGGAGCCGGCTTATCCCTCTGCCTGTATCTCTGCCTCTCTTTCTCTCTCATAAATAAATAAATAAAATCTTTAAAAAATAATATAAAATAAAATAAAAAATGGACAGAGGACATGAACAGACATTTCTCCAAAGAAGACATAGAGATAGCTAACAGATAAAAAGATGTTCAACATTACTCATCATCAAGGATATGCAAATCAAAACCACAATGAGGTATCATCTCACACCTGTCAAAATGGCTAAAATTAAGAACACAGGAAAAAATATGTATTGGCCATGAACTCTTGTATGCCATTGGTAGAAATGATTTTTAGAAACCAGATATGAATGTTAAGTGCACTCTTTGGTACTGGGGTTTCATGCTCCCAGGTTGGCATGCTAATAAATGGGTGCGTATATGTGTATATAGAAATACGTGGGTATGTATATATAAATATATAGGAAATACATAATTTATACTGTGGGCGATTTTCGTTATTAAATCGATTAGCCTCTTTTACTTCTAATACTGGGATATATAAAACATGAGTAGTAACTAAGATATTATATATGAAAGCATTTCATGATTGCTAGAGCTGGACAAATTCCAATTATTTTTTAGTATGATAAAATGCAAAGACTTATCTTTAGGATTATTATTCAGATGTTGCTCACTTGTATCACCATTCTTATTGTGGAAGCTCTTGCCGTATATAGTTGGTTAAATATTTTGAACAGCATTCCTGCCATTTCTCACCATTCCTTGAAACCCATTTTAAGTTACTGCTTTATCACTGTTGTCAGATATATCACACAGTGTGATGACTCCCTGCTTCTCTATGGCACAGTGCAAATCTGTTATGTCATTTCATCTCTTCACTACCTAAAAAGGTTTAACGAATTCTTTCAAATTCTGTTTAAATGTCTTTGACTTTTATACATTCTTTCAAGCTCCACTGTACTGCCACAGAGTACTTCTTTAAAAATAATTTTCATATTATACCATTGTTTATAAGTCTGTTATCCTGGCTAGAAAAGTGTAAGAAATGTGTTCATGCTCAATTAAGTTAGATCAGTGTCTTATTCAATTGCATATTCTCCAAAGCAAGGACAGCCTTATTATAAATATGTGTTGAATATCGGAATCAATCCTAAGGATTAATGCTTATACATTTAATATAGCTGTAATTAATAATTCACAGATCCTTCTGGAATAGCACTAATACAGCAGCTACCAGCCTTATATGGCTACTGAGCACTTGAAATAAACCTAATCTAAATTGAGATATACACCTTATTTCAAGACATTAAACATTTCATTAATAAATTTTTATACTGATTACATGTTAAAATAATATTTCAATATATTTGGTTAAATAAAATATACTATTAAAACTCATTTCACCTATTTCTTTTTAACATGGCCTTTCTTAATGTGGCTACCAAAAAATTTCAAATTACATATATACTCACATTATATCTCTACTGGACAGTGTTGTTCTGAGTTTGTGGGTTAGCAATGGGGAATAAAGAGGTAAACAGATCGAAGACTAGGGATCCCTGGATGGCTCAGCGGTTTAGTGCCTGCCTTCGGCCCAGGGCATGGTCCTGGAGTCCTGGGATCAAGTCCCACGTTGGGCTCCCTGCGTGGAGCCTGCTTCTCTTCCTGCCTATGTCTCTGCCTCTCTCTGTGTGTGTCTCTCATGAATAAATAAAATCTTAAAAAAAAAAAAAGATCGAGGACTAGATATATGGCCTCCTAGAGAAAGACAGTAAATAAAAATCCTTGCATAGCTCTAAAACTTTGCTAGCTAGAGGAACCATCCATTCAAATGGATGCTACTAGAGAGACATGAGAAAATGCAGGCATTGAAGAATATATATTATCTTAGTGAACTGACTGTTTTTACAAAATGTCTCCAGGGGTTTCTACTCTCTAATCCTGCTCTAACATTATACATAGCTGCACAGAGGAGGTCAAAAGCTATACTGCTCTCACTTGCTTTCTCTATGGACAACTTATATGTTCACCTCTTTATTTCACTTAGTCAAATTTGGATCCTTTGGCCTGAAATAAAAACTCCAGATATTTGTAATCTCTTTTTTTTCCCCCTTCAGTCTCTTACCTCAATAGCACCCTCTAGTAATGTACTCTTTCTCAAATCTAAAGTGTCTCTGGGGTGAAGGGAAATAAGCATTTAGTTAATTTTGTCATTACTGACCTGCATTTCATATTTCAGAGTCATGTGGAAGCACCAGGATCCCATTCCTACCACTGAAATTAAAACAAACAAATAAAAAAAACCAATTAGCATGAAATTCTTTGGGGGTGGCCAGAGTGATGTGAGAAGATAATAAGACAATGCAAAAAAGCACTGAATTTTAAGAACAAAATTTATGAAATCTTACGGCAGGATATAGCAGACTCTGTATAAGTTCTAGAATTGATGAAATTTTGATATAGAAAAAAGGCAAGTACAGTATAAGTTCTCATAAATTCCCTTTATAAGTGGACTCTTACTGGATTAGTCAATATTCTCTATTTTTTCTGTAAAATATACTATTGATAATTAGGATACGTTTTTTTTTTCTTTTTTCTTTTTTTTTTAAAGGATAGAAGCTTATTGACTATACCACAAGGGAACAGTGGGCAGGACAGCAAAGGAGACTGTCTGCCTCTCAGGATAAGCTTTAATGTTCACAGCTAATTAGCTACTCTAGTACTTCCGTACACTTTTATCCAAATAGCTGAATTATAAACTTACTAAGAGCCAGAGAGTTATGTTTGTTCCCAAACCTATTAATGACACTGCACTTAGTTATCAGAAATGATTGCAAAAAGACAGCTGTTATTTCTATGAAAACTATTTAAAATGCTTAAAACAGGTTCAATAAAATAGAGTTGTTAAAAAAAAGAGAGTTGTTAATAAAAATTGCTGTTGAATTAAGTGTGGGTAAGATATCAGATTGAGGAAAATAGTAAAAATCCAAAGATTCCATATTTAGGTCTTAAAATTCTTCCCAAGTGTCTCTATTTTAAATAAACTGCTTTCATTTTAGGGTTTTTAAAAATTTGTTTTTTGATGCAAGAGAAACTAAATAGAACTATAATAAGGATTCCATATTTAAAGGCCATGCCATGTATCAAATATCTGTCAAAGATTATATAACTGTTTTAATGAAAATAAAATTTTAAAGTAGGTATATATATAATTTTACAATAATTCTATGTTTTGAATTTTTAAAAATTAGCTGACAAAATATCAGTCCCTATTATACCTTACAAAAAGGCTTCTACTGTGATATATTCAGTTCAATTCAACAAGCATTAACTGAGTGCCTCCTATTAGCTAAATTCAGTTATGGTTACAAAGATAAGCTCCAGTCTTTCACCTTAATAAAGCATATAGTCTAATGGAAGAGACAGGTACATAAGATGCCAATAAGTGGAGATATGATAAAGAGATAGAGAGTACCACAGGGAGCACAGTAGAGGGGTACTTATGAAAGATGACAGAGAAAAGAAACCAGAGGAGTTAGCCTTAAGGGTGTGTAACAGTTGGCCTTAACAAACATGGTAAATGAAGGCATCACCAAATAATCTGTACAAAGCCCCTTGAGAAAAATTTTAAACATTTGTTACTTTTGCTTTTAAAAAAGATTTGTTTATTTATGAATGCACACACACAAGAGTGGGGTCGGGGGGCAAAGGAGGAAGGAGAGGGAGAGAATCTCAAATAGACTCCAAGGTGAGCATGGAGTCTGACGCAGGGCTTGATCCCAGGACCCTGAGATCACAACCTAAGCTGAAACCAAGAGTCGGACACTTAACTGACAAAGCCATCCAGGCATCCCTTGTTATTCTTGCCTTTTTTTAAAATTTTAGTTTAAGATTTACTCATTTATTTGAGAGAGAGGAAGAGAACACAAACAGGAGGGTCAGAGGTAGAGGGAGAAAGAACCTCAAGACTCTGTAGTGAGCACAGAGCCCCAAGCAGGGCCCGATCTTACAACTCTGAAATTATGACCTAAGCAGAAACCAAGAGTCAGAGACTTTTAACCAACTGCACTACCCAATGTTCCATTAGTCTTGCTTTAAAAAAAAAAAAAATCACTTACTGTTCGAAATGAGGTGACAGAAGTAAACAGTTACTGCACTTATTTTACTAAAGAAATGAGGAAGCAGAATCATTGAGGTCTTTTTTCCAAAGGAAAAATTAGAAAGTGCGAAGGTGGAAAATCAATGGAAGACGGGGAGCTCACAAACTGTGGGTTAAAGCCACACACAATATACTGTGAGATAAAAAAAATTAAAATGTAGTGAGATGACCATTCTGAAAGGTAACTGGCCACTTAATCATGCTTTACTCAAGAACTGTTTTTGCCTAAACCTTTTGAAATGTTGTCTTGTACTGTTTATTGTATAGCATTAAAAGTCTGATTTTCAGAGCTCTCTACAATTTACTTCCTTTCAACAATCTATTTCAAATGCAAAGAAATGTAATAGAAGAGCATTACCTTTCTCTATACGATGTTTTCTATTTCGCCACCTTAAAGAAAACTATCAATTTTTGCTAAAGCATATCAGTTTTGAGATAGAATTCACATACTATAAAATTAATTTACCTAAAGTGCACAATTCACTTGTTCGTAAATGTTCAGGTTGTGCAGCTATCATCATTATCTAATTTTAGAAGTTTCATCATCCCAAAGAGAAATTTCACATCTATTAGTAGTCATTCCTTATTTGTCCTCAAACCCCCCCATTCCTCAGCCCTAGTCGACCACTAATATAATTTTTTGTCTCTACAGATTTGCCTGTTCTAGTTTTCATATAAATGGAATCATACAATATATATCTTTTCTGTCTGGTTTCTTTCACTTAGCATATTTTCAAGGTTCACTCATATAGTATATTTCAATAGTTCATTTCTTTCATGGATGAATAATATTTTATTCTATGAATATACTACATTTTATTTATCCATTCATCAGCTGATGGACCTTGTTATACTACATTTTATTTATCCATTCATCAGTTGATGGACCTGTCCCCACCCCACCAATTTGGGGCTTTAATACCAAATGTAACAGTATTTGGGTGTGGAGCCATCAGAAAGTAATTAAGTTTAGATGAGGTCATGAAGGTAAGGCCCTCATGATGGGATTAGTGTCCTCAGAAGACAAGGAAAAGATAGGACCTCACTCTCAATCTGCCTGGCTTGCAACAGGACAGGCCATGCGAGGACATAGAGAAGTAAGTAACCTTCTGCAAGCCAAAAAGATCTTACCAGGAACCAAATCAGCCAGCACCTTAATTCTCGACTTCCCTGCCTCCAGAACTGTGAGATATGTCTGCTGTTCAAGCCACTCAGTCTATGGTATTCTGTTATGGGAGCTTGAGCTAAGACAGATGTTTAGGTTTTTTCACACATTTTGGCTATTTTGAATAACACAGCTATGAACACTCAAGTTTTTGCGCAGATATATATGTTTTCATTTCTCTTGGGTATATATGGTATATATACCTAAGAGTGGAATGTATGGACCATATGGTATAATTCTGTGTTTAGCATTTTGAAGAACTGCCGAAGTGTTTGTCAAAAGCAGCTGCACTATTTTCCACTCCCATGAGCAATATGTGAATTTCTCTACAACCTCCCAATACTTGTTACTGACTGTCTTTCTGATTATAGCCAATCTAATGGATTGAAGTGGTATTCACTGTGGTTCTGATTGGCATTTCCCTAATGATTGCCTCCTGTAGAATGTTCTTTATTATAGATTTATTTTTCTGATGGACTTTTTTATTTTTTAAAGATTTTATTTATTTGAGAGAGATACAGATATAGTGAGAAAGAGCACAAGCAGGGAGGAAAGGGAGAGGTAGGTTCCCCACTGAGCAGGGAGCCCAACATGGGCCTCCATCCTGGATGCTGGGATCATGACCTGAGCCGAAGGCAGACACTTAACCAACTGAGCCTACATAAGCATCTCTTTTTTTGGAGCAGTTTTAGGTTTACAATAAAATTGAGGAGACAATGCAAAGACTTTCCATACAAACCCTGCCTCCTCACATGCATAGTGTCTCTCACCATCAAGATCCCCTATCCCAATGGTATATTTGTTACAACCAATGTACCTACACTGGTATATCGTTATCACCCAAAGTCCACAGCTTACATTTTATGGTTCACTCTCGGGTATGGACAAATTTATAATGACTTGTATTCACCATTATCATAGAGAACTGTTTCATTATCCTAAATTCCTTTGCTTTGCCATTTCATTTCTCCCTCTATTTGAACCCTGGCAACCATTGATCTTTTTATGGTCTCCATAGTTTTGCCTTTTGCAGAGTATCAATAGTTGGAATCATCGGTTAGTAATACGTATTCTTTCACTTACTAATAGGCATATAAGGTTCCTTCTTGTCTTTTCATTGTTTGATACTTCACCTCTTTTTAGCACTGAATAAATATTTCATTGTCAAAAGGCATCAGTTTACCTATCCATTCACCTACTAAAGGACATCTAGGTTGCTTCCAAGCACAGCCTTATAAATAAAGCTATAAATAAATAAATAAATAAATAAATAAATAAATAAATAAAGCTATTATAAACACCTGTGTGCAGGTTTCTGTGTGAGGACAAGCTTTCATTTCTTTTGGGTAAATACCAAAAAGTGTGACTGCTGAATCATATGATGAGTATATTTAATTTTGCAAGAAACTGTCAAACTGTCTTCCAAAGTGGCTATACCATTTTGCATTCCCACCACTAATGAATGAGAGTTCCTGCTGCTCCACTCATTTCCTTTTCAATAAATATTTACTGGGCCCTCAACAAGTTCCAAGCATTTCCTCTGAAATAAATGAGTGAACAAGAGAAATAAGGTTCCTGTTTTCAGAATTTTAAGCCATTAAAAATATGAAAAGGGCCGTTTCAAAGCTTGGGAGTCCATTATATACTGGGGTTATAACAACATCTAGGGAGTCAGAGGATGGCTATTGGGGGAAGTAACACATAAGATAGGGCTTGAAGGACAAACTGGAGTTAAGCAGGTAAAAGGATTTTTTAACAAATGAGCTCATTCTGTGTAGAGGATCAGGCAGATGTAAAGGGCAAGGTAGTACATTTAAAAAATCAAAGATCTGGGCAGCCCAAATCGCTCAGTGGTTTAGCGCCATCTTCAGCCCAGGGCGTGATCCTGGAGACCCAGGATCATGTCCCACATTGGGCTCCCTGCATGGAGCCTGCCTCTCCCTCTGCTGG